CATTATCCTTAATAAAAACTTCAAATTAGGAAACACAATTCTGTTAGCACTTAGTTATTTGTACTTTCAATATGACGATATATACTCTTAATGATTTTATTCAGCAATCACATAATGCTTAAACGATTTAAAAACTCGGGATTATATTTATCAAAGCACCCCAATCATTACGCGCGGTCTGATTGGTTTGTCGTATTCTCGCACACTACAAGCATCGAGAGGGGGACAAGTCTTCTTGGAGGGTACAAAAAGGGACGAGAGGTGACGAATCGAATTGCTGATGTTAACTGGCCAATCGGTCGATAGTCGATGAATGACAAGCAGTCGCCCGCAACGACAAACCAGCATTCCCCATACCTATAACCTGCCATCTTTGAACAGTTGGCAGGTGAGGAGGCTCCATATTTGCTTGTCAACAACGAGGTCAATTGATTATCCAAGTTTCCTAACTTGACCAGAACTCCTATTGCACGTGCTGTTTGCCTTTTATCCTCGCACGTACATATCTATATCAATGCATGGTGCGCCCAAAGGGTCAAATTATCATAGTTAATGCGATACCTTTTCCATGTGTATAAAATGTGAACCATTTCACATTTGGTTTGATTTGGAGTGAGTGAGTGGGTTTGGGGGTTGGGCTTTCGCCGAGTAGACAAAATATTCAAGATTATAAGATCATAAAACACACACTTGGAAGGGATTCATCTAAAAAACTACGGTTAAATCATATCATTTAGGTGAGTGAGTGAGTGAGTTCAGCTCTACGAAGTAATCAGCAATATCACTGTGAGGGGCACCAGAAATGGGCTTCACACACTGTAGCCGTGTGGGGAATCGAACCCCAGCCTTCGGCGTGACGAGCGAATGTGTTAACCACTAGGCTCCCCCACCGCCCCAATGTCTTGATAAAAGCTTACTTTGCTTTCGGTCAGGTAAACGTAAAACTATATTAAAATGAATTTTCTTACAGATTTGTCTTGAAGCATCTATTAAGAACAATGTTCGGCCTCCCTGAAGTTGGTCTTCCCTCCATCATTAAGCTGACTGCTCGTTATATAACTGACATACTGTTAAGTCCTGTATTGAACGGGATGCGTCGCTCACAATCTGTTTGGTTGTCATAACATGCATCATTTCCCACTATTGTGTGAGAAACAGTTTACATGATCACTATCATCATACAGCTGTGTCCTGTAGACTAGTACAGACGCGGATGTGATAGGTTCTAATGAGAACGGCTCCTGGTGGTCTATTTAACATTGTTCTGTACAGTCACATTTTAATGCCTAAATACTAGTTTTAGACCTATGTCATGTGATCATCTAGTTATTTTACTGTCCTTAGTTGACAGGATTTAGTTTTAAATGTATTGTTTAGAACTATCGTAAAACTGTATAACTTGATCTAGTCACAATATGGCTGAAATACTCACTCACTCACTATTAATGACGTGGCTCGGAGAGCTTGTGCTTTTGTTTGATTCTCATTACCATAGTTACGAATCTTTTCAGCATAGCAATAACCCCAAAGCTTTGTTGTTAACTGACCCTGGACATTCTTTCATTCAGGACATTTATTGATTTTCATTAATCTTTTCATTAATTGATTTTGGAATTATACACTTACAAGAATTATCGAATAATTGGAATTGAAAGAATTGATACACTGTTTAGCACCTGTGACCATCATGATATGATAGTGAATCATAAACTTCATCAAACATAATATGCTCATGTTATAGTAAATATCGTAAATTGACTTTTTTTCAGAGATTTCTTTTGAATATTGAAAAGGGCTTGTCTTATCTTGTACGGCTGTTTTAAGAAATTGATTTATTAATATTTATTTTTAAGGATTTTTGTTGTTGCAAACACTGACCTGCCTTCTGTTATCAGTGGTACACACATCACACCTATATAATCAATGGTTGTTTTCTATTTCAGAGACAGGCGTTGGAAATTTGAAACCTGCTTGATCGACTGACGTAAACGTCGCACTCTTATGTAACCAGTCAGTAAATGCTGCAGAACAAGGCCTTACTTTTGATGTATTTCTTTGACATTAAACCTCCCTGAACTGAACCCCAATGCTGCCAGTGACCATTGCAAAGGGGTTTATTAAAACCTCAATTTAAAGACCCAATGTCACACCACAATACTCTAAAAATACACAATACATTTCTCTCAATAATACTAACTATCAGCCCTCATGGAAGCTACCATATTTTACAGAATTTGGCATACAATATTCACGAAATCAATTAAGTATCCATTCGTAACCAACTCGTGTTATTCCAAGACAATCCGAATAGCGACTCGTGCCCCTCGGGAAGGATTCTTATGGCGTATGAACATTATATTACCGAAGTACTCGTATATTGCATTGCTGTTTTTGTTGTAATTTGTTTATTCTAAAGAACGAAACTTCTTTGACACAAATAAAGGAAAAATAGATATTTGTTAGACACATATTCTAATGAATTATTACCAGCTGTTCACCTCATATATATTTCCAAACGTAATATGTTTCTAAATAGGGTTTAGGAATCACAAATGGGAGTTGTAAAATTGAATATGCAAATAAATAAAAAAAATTCTCAGCTACAATAAATCCCAAAACATATACTCAAAAAAGTATTTCTCAAACTGAACATTCATGTAACCTTGCTGTCATACCACTGGCGGAATTTCAAAATGAGTACGCTGAAAAATACATAAATGACCCTCAAAAAGTGGGACTATAATATCCCCATATATATGAAATATAAGCCCAAAATTAGATACTAAAGTTGATTTGGTATATATAGATGTAATATAATTGTTTTGAAACTCGTAGCGATACATAAGTATGTTACCTATAATTGTTGGGAAGCGCACGTACAATCAACAGAAATCGTCAGAAATACGCTCAATTGGACCCATGAGAGCTGTTATGCAAACAAACGAAGGTGCGTGTTGTGGAATCTCTCACCTGTAAGTAAACCGGTTGGGGACTACTAGTTCAAAGCCAGCATTTGGCCAGAAAGGGCGGAATATCATGTAGTAACAATGGAAATTACTTGTCAGAATGAAGCAACGTATGTCTGTACATTGGAAGACAAATCTAAACGGATCTGGCTAGCTATTCTCGAAACGTTCGTAGCCCTACGAACTTCTTAAGACCATTGTTAAGACATTGGCTACAATCAAAGTTATGAATTCTTAGGGCTACGAACGTATCGAGAATAAGGTGGTCAGACTCGCTGACTTGATTCAATGCAGAAAAACGTATTTCAATTGCGCGAAGATCGATGCTTTAAATCGTTAATCACTTGATTGTCAGTTCCATATTTTCGATTTGTTAAAGACAACAACCGTTAAGCGGATGTATTGCTGAATGTGGTGGTAAACTACCAACAAACAAGCAGTACTCAGCTCTACCATGCCATCAGTGCTGCACTGGTACACAGTGTCAGTAATGGTATATTACCCATCAAAAGTCTAGACTCACTTAAAGAACTCACTATATGTTATGTATATATATATATACATATTGATTTAGTATATATATATATATATATATATATATATATATATATATATATATATATATATATATATATATATATATATATATATATATATATAACCGCTACAATCTCCCTGAAGAGTAAAGAACGAAACATGTTGGAGAAAAAGGCATTCTGTTTTTATTTATCTATGCAATATTTATGACTGAACACCTGTACTACTTTGGACATTTTGTGCGTATATATATATATATATATATATATGTGGTTTCTCTACAACGTTGGGGAACCAACTGCAAACCTTATGCATATGGGTTGCACGAGGATCAATACATCAAATTGCTGAAAAGCATGTGCAAATATCGTGCATTTGAACAGCTGCGTTTTGGTGTTGAGTTTGTTAAGAATTCGCCAATTTTCACTGAGTTCGAGTTTCACCATTAATTGAACTCATGACAATAATCTTTTCAACGTTACAAATTTGTTTTACAAGACATCAGTTCATGTGTAAACAGTACCTTTAAATAGTATGGAATATTTTGCAAAACCTAGTTTAGAACAGTTGACTGAAGTAAGTGGCTTCATTTACACTAGTGAGTCTAAACTTTTGATGGGTAGTATATATTACCCAAATAACTCAAATGCTTTAGGATTGACTTACTGTTATCATCGTAGAGCTAAGATTCCAGCAGTTTTCCTTCTCTGTTCCTTTGGTATCTTAATATTTCCCTTAACTGTCAATCTTCCTTTGGGTCTATGTCTGAGGGAGCGGTGGGGTAGCCTAGTGGTTAAAGCGTTGGCTCGTCACGCCGAAGGCGTGGGTTCGATTCCCCACATGGGCACAATGTGTTAAGCCCATTTCTGGTGTCCCCCGCCGTGATATTGCTGGAATATTGCTAAAAGCGGCGTTAAACTAAACTCAGTCAGTCAGTCTATGTCTGATAGTGGCTTGTGATGCAATTTGTTGTAGTAAATATTCTTAAAGAGGGTTTTTCTGAGTTGTAAGAACATGGCCCCGTTCCTTTTCACTTTGTGAATAAATATACTCATGGAAACAAATAAGGGAACACATGAAAGTACAAGTGTTCCTTTATTTTTCCAGGTTTCTTCACAAGTTATGTATTGCACTGTGCCTAAAAATCTGGAAAATAAAGGAACACTTGTACTGTCATGTGTTCTCTTATTTGGTTCTATGAATATATGTTTGAACCAACATCGTTTTGTGGAACGGAGCTTAGTATTGGTTCGCTACCACTATGATAATGCCGGTCTTGTCACTATTAAGCCAGTATTTGCCTGAACATGACAGGTATTTTGAAAGGTATAACTGAGAACAATTATTTCTCTTACGACAAGCATGGGTTACTGAAGATCAGTTCTACCCCGGATCGTCTCGGCTCATGCTCCTGGCTTCAGAAGCGTCAAACTGAACAGCACCCCCAAGCCAATACCACCACATACTACTCTCCATGATGAGATACAACAAACTCTCATAATTCACGATTTATTTTTATCACATTAGCACATACAAATGCCACTGCATATTATTATATCATACAGCAGTGATGAGGGCAAAAATCCAATGTTCCATAATAGGGTATTTTCAAACCTACTCAGTCAGGTGGAAACAGGCCGTCCTGTAAAAGCAACACCGCACATACCTACAATATTCTTATACTATTTGACCGCCTGCATGGTGTAGTGGTTAGAGCGCCCGCCCGGAGAGCGGAAGGTCGCAGGTTCGATCCCCGACCGCGTCATACCAAAAGTCGTTAAAATATTGTACTTGTTGGTCCTGTCTGGCGCTCGGCATTAATGGGTACAAGAAGGACTGGTTGGCTCGGAGTCAGTATACTGTGTCTGAGTGGGGTATTCATGCTTCACTGCGGCATGGTATCTCAGTGGGCTAGCATTAGCAATATACACCAGCAATATACACCAGCTTAAGTCTGGGCTAGTACAAGCAGTCACACATACACATACACACGCATGCACGTCGTCATATGAGCGAAATATTCACAAGCACGACGTTAAACCCAATTTCACCTCACTCACCTCACCTCACCTCACCTCACCTCACCCCACCTCACCTCACGCTATTTAAAACCATTTCCGCATGGACCTGGTCCGCCTAATTGCAGCATAATGAGGCAATATACCTACAGCTGTTTCAGGCGCCTTCAAGCTTCAAGACTGACGTGGGCGTTGATTAAGAAAACATCTATCTAAGCAAGTAGTGTCCATTAAAGGTTGTCATCGATAACATGTTTCAACATTTGACTAATCCCCAAACCCGTTGTTTTATGTTATGGCACAAGTGTTATGGTCTCAGAATTTCTGCCCACAGGGCGTTCAGTCGTCAGTACATAGGGTCATATTCAGGCCACGTTTTATTTTCAAGTCCTCGAGCCTTTGCATATTGCTCGATTGTGTCGGTTGAGCACGGCATCGAAGGGTCATGTCTGGATGTACCGGGGTCCCTTATTTACATCTAATGTTTGCATAATTAATGATGTTACAACGCCATGCCTTGGCATCCAATGTCAGCGCAGTCAAGTGTCGTATAGTGTGGTGTGTTGGTGTGAAATGTCTGCATAACCAATGATGTTACAACGCCATGCCTTGGCATCCAATGTCAGTACAGTCAAGTGTCGTATAGTGTGGTGTGTTGGTGTGAAATGTCTGCATAATTAATGATGTTACAACACCATGCCTTGGCATCCAATGTCAGCGCAGTCAAGTGTCGTATAGTGTGGTGTGTTGGTGTGAAATGTCTGCATAACCAATGATGTTACAACGCCATGCCTTGGCATCCAGTGTCAGCGCAGTCAAGTGTCGTATAGTGTGGTGTGTTGGTGTGAAATGTCTGCATAATTAATGATGTTACAACGCCATGCCTTGGCATCCAATGTCAGTACAGTCAAGTGTCGTATAGTGAGGGGTGTTGGTGTGAAATGTCTGCATAATTAATGATGTTACAACGCCATGCCTTGGCATCCAATGTCAGTACAGTCAAGTGTCGTATAGTGTGGTGTGTTGGTGTGAAATGTCTGCATAATTAATGATGTTACAACGCCATGCCTTGGCATCCAATGTCAGTACAGTCAAGTGTCGTATAGTGTGGTGTGTTGGTGTGATATGTCTGCATAATGAATGATGTTACAACGCCATGCCTTGGCATCCAATGTCAGTACAGTCAAGTGTCGTATAGTGTGGTGTGTTGGTGTGATATGTCTGCATAATGAATGATGTTACAACGCCATGCCTTGGCATCCAATGTCAGTACAGTCAAGTGTCGTATAGTGTGGTGTGTTGGTGTGATATGTCTGCATAATGAATGATGTTACAACGCCATGCCTTGGCATCCAATGTCAGTACAGTCAAGTGTCGTATAGTGTGGTGTGTTGGTGTGAAATGTCTGCGAAAATATTTGCTTCGTGGTAAAGTATAACGGCATCCTATGTGAGTACAGTCAAGAGTTGAATAGTATGGTATCATGGTGTGAAATGTCTGCATAGATAGGTGTTTCATAGTAACTTGACTTGGCATCAAAGCCTGTACACTTAGAATCTTAAAATGTCCTTTAGACTGAGCAGATCTGGGTAGATTTAAAGACGTTAGTAAAAGTAACATGGCATCAGAGGTCAGCATAGTTGAGATATCCTCAAAGTTCAGTATAGAGTTAGGTGTGCTCTCCCCACGACATGACAACTAAAGTCTGTTGAGTTGAGCTTTTTCCAGTATCAGTATCTGACGTGGAATCTTTGGTTAGAAGAAACCTGTTTAGCTGGTGATAACATCAATGTAACTGTTAAATGTGACCAGTAAGATCACGCACCCACTGCTTCGCCTCGTTTTCCCCGCTTGTCGGTGCACACAGACATCTAAACATCTGCACGACTTCTTGCCTGCACTCTTCAAACTTGTTCACGTTCCCGCCCTGTTGAAGCCAGTACTGTTTGGCGTACTCGTCCACATACAACTGGCCGTTGTTCAGTAAACGAATCAGATCGATGATGCTCCTATCAACGGCAGGACCGGAGTAAAAGTTGTTGGAGTAATAGTCGTACATATAAGTGACCACCATGTCAGATATCTCCCCAATGGCTATACCATAGGTAGTTGCGTTGGCATCAATGTATTGGTCTTCTTCTCGAATATGAGCAACCATCTGGTGGCCGATTGACTGGGTGGTGGCTGCAGGAAGAGGCGTGTGATATGCTTTATAAGCTGCTGTGTGTTCTTTATTTTCAAGCAGTTGAGCTGCAGTGCTTCCAATCCTAGCAGCAAATCGGTCAATGATTGTCCGAAACACCTTCAGCACGTTGTTGTTGATGACATGTTCGCCACGATGCGATGGCTTCTTCTGTTCCCCTTTACTGGTCTTTGGGTCTGATGGCTTTTTGGATTTGTTGGTCAATTCTTTGATGTTAATCTGAGTAGCAGCAGGTTTTGTACCAGCTCCTTTCATGGATTTTGTAGCTCCTCCTTTCCCGGATTTTCCACCTTTTCCTTTCATGGCATTCATGACTTCTTTGGGCCCAATACCCTTCATTACGACTTTTTCAGCAACTTTAAGGTGTGCAGAATCCGGGGCACCTGCTGTCCCATATGTGAGGACATCCAGCACAAGGCTCAGAGCTGCATCGGCTCCATTTTCCTTTGCAAGGTCATAGGCGCCATGACAGATGGCTGATATAGCTTCAACCGTGTTCTGGAGTGTACCCACGACTGGGAAGATGTCCAGCCAATCTGTCCATACGCTCATGTTTGTTGTAGCTTGTCTGAAAAAAGCAAGAAAACATTGGATGGGTGAGTGAGTGAGTTAAGTTCATGCCGCACTCAGCAATATTCGAGCTATACAGCTGTCTGTAAATTATCGAGTCTGGACCAGACAATCCAGTGATCAACATCATGAACATCGATCTACACAATTTTGATATGATGACATTACAGTCATTGTTATCGTGACATGTGTCAACCAAGTCAGCGAGTCTGACCACCAGATTCCGTTAGTCGCCTCTTCCGACAAGCATGGGTTACTAAAGATCAAATGGGTAATAAATACATTCCAGTTAAATGTGATTGAGTGAATATGTTTTTTAAGACCTCTTGTAGCAATACCCGAGCAACTTCTTCTGAGTAGACACCTACGAAGCTGGGAATTCCCCTCACAGGGGAAACGTCTAAATGACTAGGCTTCCTTCCGACTCTTAACGTTTCTTTGTTGTTTAAGCCATATTCCAAATATATGGCGGCGGTCTGTAAATAATCGAATCTGGACCGGACAATCCAGTAATCAACAGCATGAGCATCAATATACGCAGTTGGGATACGATGACATCACAGTCATTATTATCGATATATCATCAATTCACCACTCGTAATGCCAGCAACGTTTTGGGCAACGTTTTATTTTTCAAGATAATAATGGACGTGCTCATATTGCTAGGTTTCTGACCCGTTTCACCCAACGGCAAAACATTCATGTCATGGCCAGACTGAGTGAGTGAGCTACGTTTTAACCCGCTTTTAGCAATTTCCGAGCAATATCACAGCGGGGGGACGCCAGGGCTTTACACGCTGTACCCGTGTGGGGAATCGAACCCGGGTCTTCGACGTGACGAGCGAACGCTTTAACCACTTTGCTACCCCACCGCCTCATCATAGCCAGAACGCAGCCTTCACACCCTTTAAACACGTCTACTGGCAAACAAGGATAAGTTGGACCGGCGCAGAGAACACGTTTATTACGGGAAGTAGGCGGTGCACGGCAATGAGCAAACCCATTTGGTTTGTGAAAGGTAGAGCAGATGTAGGCTAGTGTTCGTGCAGTAAATGGCGATGAAATTGATTCCGTGCGTAGCTGCACACGCCTTGCTCATAAGACTCTCACGTGGTCGGTGTAGCAAGTCGATAATATTCGGAGGTATAGATATATATTTCGAGAGAATTGAATATGTCAAAGTTAGGTAAGCACTGTCAGATAATACATTCTCAGACCCGAGAAGTGGCATACAATGTTACTAAGTACATGGAGAAAGAATGTACATCTACAGGCACTATTAAAAGATAGCACCTGCCACTGTCGAACTCGGAGTTCGCTGAGACAGGCCACGCGCTTCACCCATCGCATTACACTTGATCGTGGACAACCTGGGGCCCCATCGCTCGCAATGGCAAGCACCAGTGGGCGGCAGTCAGGTTGGTGCTAAACTTATCCTAGTTTGCCAGTAGGACGTCATTGCCAGGTGTGTATGTTTCGATATGTTGACAGTGCCATTCCAGTGCTCGTGGGTTTCACCAAAGTGATAACTGCCTTACACCCTGTTCTTCCTCAGAATAGTGTTCAAATAAATAGAAACATCGAAATAGAAATAATTTTGATAAGAAATCGCGGCCAAAAGTATGGTCGATTGAAAAGTTTGTTAAACTCACTCACCCAACCAGCGACTGAAACTCATTATAACCACTCACTCACTCATATTATGTTGGGGCCGTAAAAAAGTTGAGATTGGAATTTTTGGAAACCTATGAAAACCTATGAAGAGCGTTACATGTCAATGAGCTGCTCTCCTTCCAGTGAGGGAGGGAGTTTAGTTTTGCGCTGCAATCAGCAATATTCCAGCTATATGGCACCGGTCTGTAAATAATCGAGTCGATGCCAGACAATCCAGGGATCAACAGCATGAGCATCGATCTACGCAATTGGGATACGATGGCATGAGTCAACCAAGGCAGCGAGCCTGGCCACCCGAACCTGTCCTCCCGTCACGCTAAAGACCCGGGTTAGATTCCCCACATGGGTACAATGTGTAAAGCCCATTTCTGGTGTCCCCCGCCGTGATATTGCTGTAATATTGCTAAAAGCGGCATAAAACTATACTCACTCACTACTGAAGAACAGTCCTAACCCGGACCTTCATTGGTCGCTCTTATTTAAAGGTCAGTTCATCATATTACAATGCTATTCATAACATGCTACTGTTATTGTTGTACCATCTTTTACATATTCAAAACCCTGTCACCTGAAAAAATACTTGTTTCCATTTTATGCATTGTGATATTTAATTATTTACTACACGTTAGATACATGCTGTCAATCGAAGTATCCTAATTGCGTCGATCGATGCTCGTGCTGTTGATCACCGGATTATCTGGTACAGACTCAATTATTTATAGATCGTCAGTGTATAGCTATAGTAGAGGGACGGTGAGGTAGAGGGACGGTGAGGTAACCTAGTGCTTAAAGCGTTCGCTCAATACGCCGAAGATCCGGTTCGATTCCCCACATGGGTACAATGTGTAAAGGCCATTTCTGGTGTCTCCCGCCGTGATATTGCTGGAATATTGCAAAACAACGGCGTAAAACCCAACTCACTCACTCACTGTTAGTCAATCAATGTAAGTATTATTATTGTTAAATGTGATAGTGTGAAACATGTGTCTCAGTTGTCTCCCTTTCCTTTCTTTTCGCTTTTAATGAATCTGTGATTCTATGTGATATGATTTATACTGTGATAATCATATGTATAATGATAATGTTTACAGGTATTCTCTTCATCTGCTAAAAGCTAAATATTGCTAAAGCTGCGTAAAACCTAACTCACTCACTCACTCACTTACTATACAGTCTAGACTAGGACCACGTCACGACTCTCTTCTAGTGATGTGTGTGGCGTTAAACAACAAACAAACAAAAACACGAACAAACATAGAACCGTTTTTCAGATGAGCGAAGAAAGGAGACCCGCTTATGCCACAAATAATGCACCCCCTCAAATATGGCAAATATAAACAAAGTGGGGGCACATGTTTACATGTAACAATTGAGTAATTCAGTGACCTGACATATTAGACATCGAAAACTCTAAACACTTACGTGTCTGCTGCTCTCAACAAAAGGTCCCGCGACTGATAAAATGTCAAGTCTCAGACTGATTTATTTAACCGATACTGCCCACGCCATCTCTGTTCATACATCCGCGTTTACCTGTCAATCATTAAGTCGCATCGAGTCACAGAAATTAATTTCCTTCCTTGTAAATGTCTGCCATTGTCCTACATCTTTGCATGGAGAGTATCATATTACAGTCGACTATGTAGTGATAGAGTGATAGTTTTTACGCCGCACTCAGCAATATTCCAGCGCAATTGGGAACCGATGTCAACCAACCACCCGATCCCGTAAGTCGCCTCTTACGACAAGCATGGGTTACTGAAGATCGATTCTAACCCGGATCTTCTCGGGTGATACACATAAGGAGAGTCTTATTGATATCAAAATAAATCAGTCTGTAAACAATCGAGTCTGGACCAGACAAACTAGTGATGAACAACATGAGCATCGATCTACGCAATTGGGATACGATTGAGAGCCCCCGATCCTGTTGGTCGCTTCTTACGACAAGCATGGGTTTCTGAAAACCACTTCTAACCCGGATCTTCACGCGTTTCATTATCTCTAACTCTCTTCATACCAGTGTATATATGCTGTCAATAGGGTGGTCACTTGGAGCCTGACCACCCGATCCCGTTAGCATGGGTATCTGAAGACCAGGGTCAAGTAGTTAGGCACGCTGATTTGGTCGGGTGAGTGAGTGAGTATGGTTTTACGCCGCCTTGAGCAATATTCCAGCAACAATACGCCGGGGAACATCAGAAATGGGGACCCGTGAAGATCCGGGGTAGAATAGGTCTTCAGCAACCCATGCTTGCCATAAAAGGCGACTATGCTTGTCGTAAGAGGCGACTAACGGGATCGGGTGGTCAGGCTCGCTGACTTGGTTGACACATGTCATCGGTTACCAGTTGCGCAGATCAATGCTCATGCTGTTGATCACAGGATTGTCTGGTCCAGACTCGATTATTTACAGACCGCCGCCATATACCTGGACTATTGCTGAATGCGGCTTAAAACTAAACTCACTCACTCACTTAGAAATGGGCTATAAACACTGTACCATGTGGAGAATCGAACTCGGGCCTTCGGCGTGACGACCGAGGGCTTTAACCACTGGGCTACCCTACCGCCACACCTTTTTCACCCAGATGTCAAAGATGACCATACAGCTCTTGCTCAGAAGTTGTTTCATCAAGCTTACAAAATATATTTTTATAAAAATTAGATGGTTTAGTTTCAGATGCGTGGATAACAATTCCACGTGTGACACATTAAAGACAACATTCTTCCCTGCTTTGGCTTGTACCATATAGTTTAGTGTTTTTAACTGATTAGCATTTGACATGCCCTTGCGTGTGTTTGTGACTGGAACCATTTTCAAGAACTCCTAGAATCAAAACTATTTCATAATAATACATAAACACCTGCTCACGGTACAGAAGGAATGGTACCATCGACTTCACTTTAGTAAATATTTCTTATAAATATTAAAACGACTTATTATAACGCTAAAATCAAACTTTGCCAGTGAAGTTGTAAGGAAATGAGACCGATTGACACATGAATCCTCTATTTATATCTGGCGGTCAATAGTACAAAGTATAAGATCACCCATGTGCACAAGGGCAGGTGGGACAAATGTTATGCCATCTTAATGCAATGAAAATGTATAGCTTCAAAGATATGGCTTGTCTTCTAATGTAATCCATAAAATAATTAATGAAACATTAGTCGACAAGTCTTTGTGCATTAATAGCTAATTATAATTAATATTCTTATGTCAGATACCCTATATGGTACGATGTGTTGCAGCATAGAGGCAGATATATTTGTGATATTGAAAATTAGGACAAAACTAAGTATAAATATCTTAAAATATCCTGCAAAGGTATAGATCCTCGGTGTGACTTTAATTGTTTCTCTTACAAAATAAAAATCTGTAAATTGTGAAAGCATAGTGATGATGATCTGTGTTGTGAAATAAGTAGTTTGGACTGCTTGGTGTTCTTCAATCCAATATTGTTATGCAGATCAGGAGCATGTGGGCCCTTGTATTTATTCACCAGGGCAGGTACGTATAAATACTCCATACGTTCACTCTCACTCCATCTGACCAATGGTTTGTAAGATCTTTGGGCTATTGTATCGAATCACAGAGTCGAACCCCTGAGTCTCTGGATTGTTACAGATCGCCGCCATATAGCTGGAATAGTACAGTGTGCGGCGTTCAGCAACAAACAAAGAAAAGTAACGATTCCCCAAGTAGAAATGTAGCACTAATGGTAACAATCCTTACCGGAAAGTGAAAGTAGGACAATGAGCCACTGCGGCTATACACTGGTGCACAGAGCAGGGTTCATTGGATAGGGGCATTGCACAAGGGGATTAGTCAGTGGGTTGAGGAAGGAACATCTCAGGATATGACACTGTAGGATTTCTAGATGTGCTATCTGCTCGAATGTGGAGTAAACAGGAAGGTCTTCTTCAGCTAGGATGTTAAACTGGTTGTGTACAAGCAGCCCATAACCGCTGACACACTTCTCAGATTTCAATGTGACCTGATCAGGCAAGTAGAGCAAACAGCAGAGCGACGCTCGACTCCGCTGCAATATTCAAATTGGTTTGTTGTCTGTCGCCATACTCAGCTATATGGCGCCGGTCTTTAATAATCAAGTCTGGACCAGACAACCCAGTGATCAACAGCATGATCATCGATCTGCGTAACTGGGATAATATGACATTTGTCAACCAAGTCAGCAATTCTGACAACCCGACCCCGTTAGTCGCCTTACGACGGGCATGGGTTATTGAAGACCAATTCTAACCCATATTTTTATGTGGCTATGGTCTCGACTACAAGTTGTTCGACTTCCATTTTTATGGAAGCCGTGGTGGCTGAGTGGGTTAGACGGTTGATTTTGTGTGCAGGCGATTAGGTGCCTGACTCGAGGTCAGGTCCTGACTGTCAAGACTCGATTATTTTCACACATCCGCCATATAGTTGAATATTACTGAGTGCGGCGTTAAAAACCAACCAACCAACCAGTCCAGACGACAGACTTTGGGTACCCCTCTGTTTATATAGGCCTATAATGACTTCTTTGCTCTTTGGTGCGGTGGGGTAGCCTAGTGGTTAAAGTGTTCGCTCGTTACTCTGAGGATCCGGGTTCGATTCCCCTCATGAGTACAATGTGTGAAGCCCATTTGCTGTGTCGCCCGCCGTGATATTGCTGGAATATTGCTTAAAAAGGGCATAAAACTAAACTCATTCACTCATGATGTATGAATGGACCATTATTACTGTCTCCTGTCTACAGGCCCTATATTGACGTCTTTGAATTCCAGTATAATTAATGGGCCCATGGGTCATGATTGGCTTGTTTATACATGTGTCCAGTGAAGAGTACAATTCATGGGTGGAAACAGGGCGGAAACAGTACACCTCTGCATATCGTACAGACCCGTCCAGGGCAGACATAAATATACTGCAATAACATTTTTTTTTTTACCTTTTGGCAATGAAAATAAGTAACAACATCCGAAACTAATAAATGGTTCAATAAGATGGCCTATATCCCCTTCAAGAATTGTTCAGATTGTAGGTTTTGGAACATGTACAGACCTATTATTGGGACATGGGTCATGAGCGAGTGAGTGATTTTAATTTTACGCCGCTTTCAGCAATATTCCAGCAAAAGAAATGGTCTTCACACATTGTACCCATTTGGGGAATCGAACCCGTGTCTTCGGTGTTACGAGCGAACGCTTCAACCACTAGGCTACCCCACCGCCCGTCATGATTGGACTATTTGGGACTTGTTTCTTTCAGTACAAGATTCGTTGAGAGAATGAAGGCAGACCTGCTCAGTTTACCATCATATTAGGCGTGATTGTATTATGCAGCTTTCTATTTTGCAGGGCTCCACCACTACGCCTTACCCGTAACATGGCACAAACGTGAGCTGCCAGTTGATTGTGTTATCATATCTCGATAGTGGACTTGATTCTATCAACCATTGGTTTACAAGACCTAGAATCGATCAGTTACACGTAGCCAATACCGCTGGATCATTCTGACTGCAGGCAAAACACATATTACTCACACATTCCAGATACGTATTCACACTAGTGTGTGTATGCATGCACACACCCGTGCGCTTGTTATAATATACTGCGCGTGTGTGTGTGTGTGTGTGCATGTGTGCGTGCGCGCAATGTGTGTGCGTGTGCGTGTTTATGTGTCAAGTGCCTGCCAAGGCACTGAGTGAGTGAGTTTGGTTTTACGCCGCTTTTAGCAATATTCCAGCAATATCAGGCGGTAGGTTTGGGGATATGTACAGACCTATTATTGGGTCATTGGTCATGATATTGTGAGTACGTCCGTTTAATTTAATGAGGCATTTAGCTATATTCCAGCAATATTACGGCGGGGGACACCAAAAATGGGCTTTACACATTGTAGCCATGTGGGGAATCGAACACGGGACTTCGGCGTGACGAACGCATTAACCTAGAGACTACCCCACCTCCCGGCGAAGGCATTGAGCGACAGCACCCAGCCACCCAGCCACCCGGCCACCCGGCCACCCCGCCACCCAGCCATCCGCCGCCCAGCCACCCAGCCACCCAGCCTCCCAGTCATCCAGCCACCCAGCCACCCAGCCATCTGCCGCCCCTTCAGTCATCAGTCACTTTCAAGAAGATGATTTACTCAACCATGACACATATAACAGCAGAGTATCCTGAGCGGAGTACAGCATACCCGGACACACAGTTCCCACTAAATCAGATACCCTGTATTTTAAATAAGTTTACCGAGAAGCCGCAAAAGCAGTGTGCAGTATTTGAAAAAAGTAAGGCCAGAAATGCTTGGAAAATGTTATTTTGCAATTTTTTGATAATGGTTGATATTTCAGATTCAAAACTCATATATAGTCATTCATACCACCACGACCTAATATGGCATATGAGTAATCATGGTGTACCATTCCCTAATCATAACGATTACTCATAAATTATCGAAAAATCCATGGCAGAAACACTTCTAAGAAACAAACTATGCTGTGACCCACCTGGCAGGCAGACTTCGGCGTGACTCACAATATCATGACCAGCGTTTTGTAATGCAAGGGCAGTACATGTCAGGGACTGTCTCAAAATATCAAGTGTTAGTATCACAGCTGGTGGCGGACTCAAGCGGAATTACACACGACATTTATTGTATCTTTGATCTCATCTTGCATTTTAGCACACGTCTGTGGGATTTTACGTTCATACAATTGATAAAAAGGGAACCCCGTATGACGACCCTTATCAAAACTATCCAGTTTTTTGTTTCTTATCTGGTTTTGATTTTGACACGACCCCTGAGGTAACTGATGTGTTTACAACTTTCTAAAACTTTGTTTCTCCAGTATGAAATACTGGTATAAATTTGAAATTAATTGTTCTGTTGAGATATCAAGTAGCATGTTGCCAGTTCAATGCTCATACACGAAGTGAAACTTCTATGGGTGAACAAGATTATCAATAGGATTTAATTTAAGGCTTTTTTACGTAATTCGTTTGGATATAACTACTACAAGAGTTCCATCTTTTTCTCATATAGATGTTCATAAAAAAACAAAACTTTTTACAATCATTTCTGTAATTAAATTTGTTGAGGATTTATGAATATTTATAGTCTGTATTTCAAAACGACAGTTTGTACTTAGAATATTTACGAATGTTGTTAAAACGTCAAAATTTCCTCCTGAGAAGTCATCCCTCAAGTGCATCTTTTCATCTGAGCTTTAATATCCAAGGTAGAGTCACACATGTGTCATGTATGTGCTTTTATCTTGTGTCAGATTCACTATATTGATATTGAAGCCAATAAGCATTTCCCAAGGATTTCGGGCCTTACTTTAGTTAAGAACGCGACCCAACAAAGGTAAGGACAATAGCACTGTCGGGTCGCACTTGAGAGTGGGTAACAAGGACGTAAGTTATAGACATCCTTAACGGAGGATAACGCCCATTGAGAGGTTCGAGCACTGTAATATATAATGCTTACCTCACCACTTATCATTCCCTGGAAATGGCCACAATGATCACGATATGCTCGCCTGTTTCGCGAAAATCCTTGTGTCACCCGGATCTAGCCTCAGCACACCCACCTCTTATGAAAGTACAATAGACGATAAACATTTCCTTGAGAGAGTTATGCGTGATCTGGAGAATAACAATTGTGTTGTGAATGGCGATCATAAAACCCACAGGGGTACTACAGGGGGAGGGGGAGGGGAGGTTAAGGACAAGTGTAACACTTATAACTCAAATAGCACTGACACTCGCTGCTCAGTACTCAAGATAGTGTGTACGGAGTTGCAGGTAAAGTTTCTTGCGTAAAGTCAGGTGGGAGGTTTCTAGAAAAGGTAGGCGTTCGCTCATATCCCCATTGGTACGGAAGCCTATTAGGGCCATTCGTTTTTTCGGATACATATTATGTTTTTAGATACTTACGAAGTTGAAATTTCATGAAAATGATCGTTATCTTAAATTCAAATGAAGAAAACCCCCCAAAACAAAACAAAAACGAATGGCCCTAAAGGCTTAGGTAGTGTACATATTAGTGAGAAGGATTTATGACCTCCCTTTGTGGGACAACTGAATGTATGTCTTTAGTTGCCATCAGGTAGATATGTACTCTCATTGCTTTTGTTGTTAGTAGTCAATCTTCGTTTCAGTATTTTGAATTTTAACAATGCTTACATAGAAGTGAGTGAGTTTAGTTTTAACCCGCCAGAAATGGGCTCATGTGGTGTATCAAACCTGGATCTTCGGCGTGACGAGCGAACGCCTTCACCACTAGACTAACTAGACCACTAGATAAATTCCAACCCGGATCTTCATGGGACCTCTGGCGTGTCGTTTCCAGGTTTTTGCTAAAAGCTGTGTAGAACCACATTTACTGAAGCCCTTTAAACGTTCTTCCAATAATTACTCCCTTTTCGCTCTTTCAGACAAGAAACAGCAAACATGAGTGTATGGACAGATTGGCTAGACTTTACCCCGGTCGTGGGTACAGTCAAGAACACGGTTGAAGCTGTAACAGCCGTCTGCCATGGGGACTATGACCTTGCGAAGTAAAAAGGAGCCAGTGCCGCTTTGGGTCTTGTGCTGGATGTTCTCACAAGTGGTACCGAACATGCCGCTGGGACTGCCGCCTTCAAAGTGGGTCAAAAACTCGCTCTTAAGGGCACTACAGAAAAAGTTGTTGTGAATGCCATGACTAAAGCCAGGGCCAGAGCTGGTACAAAAGCAGTTGCTGCTCGGATTCCGATCCACGATTTGGGCAAAAAATCTAACAGACCCAAAGACCCAAAGACCAGTGAGGATGTTTCGGACAATCATTGACCGATTTGCTCCTAAGGTTAGAAGCACCGCAGCTCAACTGCTTGAAAAAAAAGAGCACACAGCAGCTTATCAAGCATATTACGCACCCCTTCCTGAAAACACCACCCAGTCTATCAGGTACCACATGGTTGCACATATTCCGGAAGTGGAACAATACATCGATGCCAACGGAACGGCCTATGGTATAGCCATTGGGGCGATATCTGACATGGTGGTCACTTACATGTACGATTATTATGGCAACAACAGCTATAATGCTCCGGTTGTCGATAGGAGTATCACCGAGCTGGTTCGTTTACTGAACGAAAGTCACTTGTATGTGGATGAGTACGCCAAACAGTACTGGCTACATCATGGCGGGAGTGAAGCCTTGTTTGAGGAGAGCAGACGACAAGTGGTGCAGATGTTCAGACGTCTGTGTGCACCGACAAGTGGGGAGAACGAGGCAAAGCAGTGGGTGCGTGATCTTACTGGCCACACTTAAGTACACCGCCATTGGATGCCAAGACAAGCTATAGTAACCCTCACCTATACTGACATTGGCTGCCAAGACAAGCTATAGTAACCCTCACCTATACTGACATTGGTTCCCAAGACAAGCTACTGTAAGACTCACCTATACTGACATTGGTTGCCAAGACAAGCTACTGTAAGATTCGCCTATACTGACATTGGTTGCCAAGCCAAGCTATAGTAACCCTCATCTATACTGACATTGGTTGCCAATACAAGCTACTGTAAGATTCGCCTATACTGACATTGGATGCCAAGACAAGCTACTGTAACCCTCACCTAAACTGACATTGGTTGCCAAGACAAGCTACAGTAACTCTCACCTATACTGACATTGGATGCCAAGACAAGCTACTGTAACACTCACCTATACTGACATTGGTTGCCAAGACAAGCTACTGTAACCCTCACCTATACTGACATTGGATGCCAGGACAAGCTATAGTAACCCTCACCTATACTGACATTGGATGCCAAGACAAGCTATAGTAACTCTCGCCTATACTGACATTGGTTCCCAAGACAAGCTACTGTAACCCTCACCTATACTGACATTGGATGCCAAGACAAGCTATAGTAACACTCACCTCTACTGACATTGGTTGCCAAGACAAGCTACTGTAACCCTCACCTATACTGACATTAGATGCCAAGACAAGCTACTGTAACCCTCACCTATACTGATATTGGTTGCCAAGACAAGCTACTGTAAGACTCACCTATACTGATATTGGCTGCCAAGACAAGCTACTGTAAGATTCGCCTATACTGACATTGGTTGCCAAGACAAGCTATAGTAACCCCATCTATACTGACATTGGTTGCCAAGACAAGCTACTGTAAGATGCGCCTATACTGACATTGGATGCCAAGACAAGCTACTGTAACCCTCACCTATACTGACATTGGTTGCCAAGACAAGCTACAGTAACTCTCACCTATACTGACATTGGATGCCAAGACAAGCTACTGTAACCCTCACCTATACTGACATTGGTTGCCAAGACAAGCTAATGTAACCCTCACCTATACTGACATTGGATGCCAGGACAAGCTACTGTAACCCTCACCTTTACTGACATTGGATGCCAAGACAAGCTATAGTAACCCTCACCTCTACTGACATCGGTTGCCAAAACAAGCTATAGTAACCCTCACCTCTACTGACATTGGTTGCCAAGACAAGCTATAGTAACCCTCACCTCTACTGACATTGGATGCCAAGACAAGCTATAGTAACCCTCACCTATACTGACATTGGATGCCAAGACAAGCTATAGTAACCCTCACCTATACTGACATTGGTTCCCAAGACAAGCTACTGTAACCCTCACCTATACTGACATTGGATGCCAAGACAAGCTATAGTAACCCTCACCTCTACTGACATTGGTTGCCAAGACAAGCTACTGTAACCCTCACCTATACTGACATTAGATGCCAAGACAAGCTACTGTAACCCTCACCTATACTGACATTGGTTGCCAAGACAAGCTTCTGTAACCCTCACCTATACTGACATTGGATGCCAAGACAGACTACTGTAACCCTCACCTATACTGACATTCGTTGCCAAGACAGACTACTGTAACCCTCACCTATACTGACATTGGATGCCAAGACAAGACACTGTAACCCTCACCTATACTGACATTGGTTGCCAAGACAGGCTACTGTAACCCTCACCTACACTGACATTGGTTGTCAAGATAAGATATTGTAACCCTCAACAATACTGACATTGGTTGCCAAGAGAAGCTACTATAACACTCACCTATACTGACATTGGTTGCCAAGACAGGCTACTGTAACCCTCACCTTTACTGACATTGGGTTGCCAAGACAGGCTACTGTAAGCCTCATCTTTACTGACATAGGTTGTCAAGACAGGCTACTGTAACCCTCACCTTTATTGACATTAGGTGCCAAGACAAGATACTGTAACCCTCACCTTTACTGACATTGGCTGCCAAGACAAGCTACTGTAACCTTCACCTATACTGACATTGATTGTCAAGACAGGCTACTGTAACCCTCACCTACACTGACATTGGTTGTGAAGACAAGATATTGTAACCCTCAACAATACTGACATTGGTTGCCAGGACAAGCTACTATAACACTCACCTATACTGACATTGGTTTCCAGGACAAGCTACTATAACACTCACCTATACTGACATTGGTTGCCAGGACAGGGTACTGTAACCCTCACCTTTACTGACATTGGTTGCCAAGACAAGCTACTGTAACCCTCACCTTTACTGACATAGGTTGTCAAGACAGGCTACTGTAACCCTCACCTTTACTGACATTGGGTTGCCAAGACAGGCTACTGTAAGCCTCACCTTTACTGACATAGGTTGTCAAGACAGGCTACTGTAACCCTCACCTTTATTGACATTAGGTGCCAAGACAAGATACTGTAACCCTCACCTTTACTGACATTGGTTGCCAAGACAAGCTACTGTAACCTTCACCTATACTGACATTGATTGTCAAGACAGGCTACTGTAACCCTCACCTACACTGACATTGGTTGTCAAGACAAGATATTGTAACCCTCAACAATACTGACATTGGTTGCCAGGACAAGCTACTATAACACTCACCTATACTGACATTGGTTGCTAGGACAGGCTACTGTAACCCTCACCTTTACTGACATTGGTTGCCAAGACAAGCTACTGTAACCCTCACCTAAACTGACATAGGTTGTCAAGACAGGCTACTGTAACCCTCACCTTTACTGACATTGGATGCCAAGACAGGCTACTGTAACCTTCACCTACACTGACATTGTTTGCCAAGACAGGTTACTGTAACCCTCACCTTTATTGACATTAGGTGCCAAGACAAGCTACTGTAACCCTCACCTTTACTGACATTGGATGCCAAGACAAGCTATAGTAACCCTCACCTCTACTGACATTGGATGCCAAGACAAGCTATAGTAACCCTCACCTTTACTGACATTGGTTGCCAAGACAAGCTACTGTAACCCTCACCTCTACTGTCATTTGTTGCCAAGACAGACTTCTGTAACCCTCACCTTTACTGACATTGGATTCCAAGACAAAATGCTGTAACCCTCACCTATACTGATATTGGTTGCCAAGACAAGCTACTGTAACCCTCACCTATACTGTCATTGGTTGCCAAGACAAGCTATAGTAACCCTCACCTTTACTGACATTGGATGCCAAGAGAAGATGCTGTAACCCTACCTTTACTGACATTGGTTGCCAAGACAAGCTACTGTAACCTTCACCTATAGTGACATTGGTTGTCAAGACAGGCTACTGTAACCCTCACCTATACTGACATTGGTTGCCAAGACAAGATGCTGTAACCCTCACCCATACTGACATTAGTTGCCAAGACAAGCTACTGTAACCTTCACCTATACTGACATTAGATGCCAAGACAAGCTACTGTAACCTTCACCTATACTGACATTGGTTGCCAAGACAAGCTTTTAACTCACTTGCCTATACTGACAACGGATGCCATGCTGAATAGATGCAGTTGTAACTCTGTTCGGAGCCTTATGTATGCAGTCCATTGCTCTCTTTAATGAACACTAGGATCACCCTAGTCAGGATTGGTTCTCTTATTCAACACACTTCTCTATCTGGAATCTTGCAGGATTCGGAAACGCAAGTAGGCAATAACCCACCATAGTTAACAATATTTTCACAAATGTTAGCAGACAAGTGTAGGGCTGTGTAAACAGTTCCCACTGTATAGAGTGGGTTGTAAAATATTTCCAAAGGATAGTATATATTGAAGGTCTCCCTGTGTCAATAAACAGAGTGTACATCTTTAAATGTGAATGTCTGTGAAACACTCCTCTACCTTGTGATTTATCCACTTCACTGCTGTGTCCAGGAACTGCTAACTCTCATAAGATATAAAAGTTGCTGTCATTCAAAATAATATTCAGTTGTGTCTAATAAAAATATCAGAATCTAGATGCATGAGTTTGTTTTATTCATCAAGGAAATTGGTGAGGGCACCCTGCTGTTATATTTTGCCAATAATACACTTATTCTCTACCTTTTAATGTCGTTTTAAGTGATACTAGTAGAGCCTAGGCGCTGTGTGCGACGTGCCTCAAAATCCAATAAATTGTCTCAATTCATGCTCCATGAAATGTGCGAAATAAGAAAAAACACAGTTTCCAAATTCGGAACACAAGTCAAGAAACTATTACGCTATAATTCGCCTGAATATGAAAATTATACACTTATTCTGCACCTTGTTATGTCATTTTAAGCGATGCTACTATTGTCTAGGCGCTGTGTGCGACGTGCCACAAAATCAGCTAAAGTTGTCTGAATTCATGCACCATGAAATGTGCGAAATAAAAAAAAAACAGTTATCAATTTTGGAATACTTGCCACGCACCCATCAAGCTATACCTATCCGGAAGATGAAAGTAATACACTGATTCACTATCTAGTTATATAAATGTGCGAAGTTACAACAGCACAGTTACCAATTTCGACACACATCTCAAGAAACCATTATGCTATAACTAACCTGAAGATGAAAATAATACACTTATTCCGTACCTTGTTATGTCTTCTAAGCGATACTAGTAGTGCCTAGGCGCTGTGTGCGACGTGCCTCAAAATCAGTTAATGTTCTCTCCATTCAAACTTCATGAAATGTGCGAAATAATAAAAACGCAGTTACCAATTTCTGCACACATCTCAAGAAACCATCCTGCTGTAACTGGCCTGAAGATGAAAATAATGCGATTATTACCTAATAATTTATAGATTTTTAATCTATACTACTATTGCCTTGGCGCTGGCATGACTTACCTCAAAATCCGATAAAATTGTCTCTATTCATGCTTCATGAAATGTGCGAAATAACAAAAAAAGATAGTTACCAATTTCGGTACACGTCTCAAGAAACCATCACGCTATAAGTAGCCGCCTGAACATGACAATTATGCACTTATTCTGTACCTTGTTATGTCATTTTAAGCTATACTACTAGTGCCTAGGCGCTGTGTGCGACGTGCCTCAAACTCAGCTCAAGTTGTCTCAATCCATGCGTTATGAAAAGTGCGAAATAATAAAAACACACTCATCAATTCGGGCATACTTGTCTCGCACCCATCATGCTATACCTATCCGGAAGATGAAAATAGTACACTGATTCCCTAACTAGTTATACATTTCTAAGTGATACTACCAATGTCTAGGCGTTGTGTGCGAATTGCTTGAAAGTCAACTAAAATTGTCTCGATTCATGCTTCATAAAATGTGCGAAATAATACAAACACAGTTATCAATTATGGCAAACTTTTCAAGCAACCATCATGCTATAACTAGCCTGAAGATCAAAATAATACACTTATTAACAAACCAGATATGTTATTTTAAGCGGTGCCACTATTGCCTAGGCGCTGTGTGCGACTTGTGTCAAAATCCGATAAAATTGTCTCGATATATGCTTCATGAGCGAACGCTTTAACCACTAGGCTACCCCACCGGCCCACAAGCCAGAAAAATAGGGTAATAACACCGAGGCATGTCCACCACCTCCACCACCCCTTCTCTCTACCAGTAATACTCTGACACTGAAAATTGCTGGAGTCTATGAAGCTTTCTGGAAATGACGCCTGTAGATAAATATATGTTTTCAGATTTATCTATATCTTTGGTAAATCTGTGTTACACTATAGATAGTTCAGATGTAGCGCTACGTTGTAAAACGGGTACCAGGACTATAGCATCCTTCAAATGAAATAAATACCGATACATGACCCCCTCTTCCACCTACCCCCACCCCCACCCCTTTATTAGTAATACTCCTCCTCTGAAATTTGTGTGTTGAGAAAGCTCTCTGAAAATGACGCATATAGAACATACGTGTTGCTGTTGTTTGATGCACCGCTCAGCAGTATTCAAACTATATAGGCTACCGGATGAATTCGAACATATCTTTATTTTTGTTTTTCACAAATAACTTTGATTTTGTAAATCCAGATGTCCTTATATCAGAGTGATATAAATTAAATTATTCGAGCTAGGTTCCAATATATGACAAACCTGCAATACCCAGCTACCAATCAGAGTGTTTTATTTATTTCTTTGAAGCCAATACACCTAAATAGTTTACAGTATTTGCAAATTTATATACATCATGCAAACCCAAAATAGCAAGAAATAATATTGGCAGCTCTGATCGATATTCCAAAAGTCCATAAAGAAAGGAAAATAATCTCCGGGACCAGACAATCCAGTGATTGACAGTACCACGACAGCCCATCCATTGAGCTGCCTACTTCCTACTGCCCTGTTTTGATGGGATCAGTTCCTACCCTGCAGCAAGCCTTGGATTAACTAACTTGAACACAAAAAAGACTACAGTTATATTCACAGTTTATCCATAAAACAAGTATTAAACAAAAACATTAGTCGGTTGGTGTGCCTGAAAATATATTTACATTGTCATATTTTGATACTTTTGCATGTTTGTTTCTTTGCTGTTTAATGCCGTCCTCTCTGTGATGACGACTTGAATCTGGATCAGAACATTCAGTGATCAACCCCATTAAAATCGATCCCGTGAATTTAGATTCTATGGATAGTCAAGACTGGGTAACATTTTGCACTGGCGTTCTATGCGATATTCAATAAAGTCACATGATGTCACCTCACTCACTCGATCGTTAGACAAGCATGGTTTGCTCAAGTGAGTTTAGTTTTTTTGCGTCTTTCAGCAGTATTTCAGCCATATCTATCATGGCGGGGAACACCAGAAATGGGCTTCACACATTGCACGAATCGAAACCCGGTCTTCGGGGTGACGAGCGGTTGATGTTGACCTCTGTTCCTAACCTGACTTGACTGGGTCCAAGAAGTTTCAACATCATTTAATAGCATAACGTAATATTCATGTAGTTCACTCACATTTGGACAGTTTCAAGATATTTCTGGTAATACATACTGTGTTACACAGGTTTTAAATGTGTGATCACAGGATGATGGGACATACTGATACTGTCAGCCACGTAGGGCCAGGCCTGATAGTTGTACAGGCCGCATGGCAAGGCTGTGTGAGACTTGCATTCTGTCTCGGTAAATGCTAGGGATAAGAAACAATGTTCGTTATTCCCACAGTTATTCCCACAATAATTACATCATCTCTGAAACTTAATTAAAGTATCAACGGCGTTTATATGTCAAGATGTTCGATGTCAGTTTTAAGAACCTATGCAGTAGTATATATTTCATTACCAGTAAGTAATACTATCACCTGTACAACGCCCTACACTGTTGTCGTTTGAGGACTGAACTAACACCCCTCACTCACTTACATTTCAAGTGAACTCTCACTTCATGTGTTATTTCTCTCAAACTGCATGAACATACATATTCAGAGACTGACTGCAGTTTATCAAAATAGTAAAACAATACCATCCGGATTTGTTTCAGGTGAACAGTTCACAAGAATTTGCATATAAGGGGCAGGATATGCTCACCTTAGCGCGAATTCCATCGAACACCTGGTGTTATGACTATTTGATAGTGACACGATCAATAATAAACACATGCCGAGTCATCGTATCTCACGACAATCACTGGATCGCCTGGTTCAGGCTCGACTGTTTACACAGGGTGTCGTTCAGCTGTATTACAAATGCCTCGTCACATACATAATATATTGTCAGAATTGTACATTGACTCAGCTGTCGGTGGTGGTGGAATGGGGTTTAAAGTCGTGCTTGAGAATATTTCGCTCATATGACGACGTGTGTATGTGTATGTGCGGCTGCTTGTACTAGCCCAGACTGAAGCTGGTTTTATAGTGCTAGCCCACTGAGATACCATGCCGCAGTGAAGCATGAATACCCCACTCAGACACATTATACTG